ATCCTCAACACTTTATTTACCAGTTGACTGGCAGAAAATGTTATGTTTTCAACCTTTTTGTTGTCTGGTTTTTAAATGTTAAATCACAAGACACATGATTGACATAAGGCGAGCAATCCTTAACGGTAATACAGTTCACATTTGGTCATTTAGAAAAGAGTTCCAGTTGTTTCTTGGACTTGGACCTCATAAAATGGATAAATCGGAGCCAGACTGGCCAGAGGCCGACACTGAGCGCGGTGCTTTGTTAGCCGCAGAGGCATCCAGTTAGAATCACTGGTCTTGTGTGAGCGAATCCATCTAGAGGTTTGATTTATGGGGTCTGCACCGCTGAGGTCGGCCTCATCAACAGGGAGTGAATGCTGGGAAGCAGTCCAGTCTGGAGTTACTGAACCAGGCCTTTTTTAGGACCTGCTACTACTTTGCAGTTTATTCACAAACTGGATCACTTTCTGGGATTTCCAAGGCAGCTTTGAACATTTCCAGCCACAAAAATTGATTACGGGATGCAATATATTAACAAGGTTGCTTTTAAATGTTTCTTACAAACTATCAAAACAAAAGACAGCAGATACATCAGATTTCATGAAAACACCAGTAGTTTCTCTTTTCCTCCTGTAACTTTTAGTCATTCTTACTTTCTTACTTTTGTATTTTTGTGTTCCAGAGGCAATGTCATGTAAGCTTTTTATCACAAGTGCGACCTTTGTTAGAACCGAAATGTCAAAGTGCCATCAGACGTTTTAAAACAATATCACCAAACAGGACTTGGACTGATTTTGCGGTCCAAAAATAGCTCCCTCTGTGGCCAACAAGGAGAAGCTCTTAAAGAAACACAAAACGACATTATAGACAAGTAAAAATGAAAAAAACAAAAAGACAACTAACTGATCTAAACTAAAATACCTAAAATGTGCGTCTTTAACGACTCTTTAGACTATAAATATATTTATTTTCCCAGAATTTTCACGTTCACTGAGACGCACCCGCACATTACACCGAGATTTGGGCTTAATCTTGCTCAACAAATTGCACGCCAGAAAGGAGACGGAGAGGGGAAGAGGAGTTTGGAAAGCACTTTGGAAAACCTCATCAATTACCAAGAATTATGAAGCCTGATCGACTACTGCACTGCCTTGGGTAAAACTGACACTTTCCAGAGCAAGGATTACCATGTTGACACAAACGTTTTGATATTTCTCTCCACGCGGGCTGGAGATGATGTGCGAAAGCCGATCTTTTAAGTTTCAAAATTAGACTTCCTTATCTAGGGCCTGGTGGCTCATGCGTACCGTCACCATTTATCATCCAGAGGTAAGCAGATCTTAAACGTGGCAAATGGGTTGAATTTTAATAGTGTCCCTCGGGCGACGGCGAAATACAAAACAGGCGAATCCCAACAACAGAGGTTTGTTGGAGAGCTAATCACGAAACAGCAAGTTCACTAGTATGATGAGTGAGTTCATCTGAAGCCTAATGAGCTTAAATCTCCTTTCGCTGTTTGGCTGTTTGAAGGTGGTCTGGTTTCAACCTTTAGGAATAAAATATCATTTTAACTTTTTGAAGTCAAAGTCTGAACCCGGCTTGACCCAGATTCCACTTTAATCTCAAAATGAGTAGCAGTGATTGCGCGAGAGGCGATTGAACGGCCTGACCTGTTTGGCATGGCGTGCTTAATGCCATATTTCATTATCCACAATAAATTGTTGTCATAATGTTTCCTGAAGCCTGCAACGTGTTCAGTCGGCGGTGAATCGGTCACATTGTTAAAACGAATAAGACGTACAAAGCTACATGGAGCCAACGTTGAATCCTCGCAGGTAATTAGGAAAGCTCCAGTGACTCCAGATGATGATCAGGACATTGGAACAGATGCTATTAAGTTGTAATTTGCAGGTTGGGCTCGTCTCCTTTGAGGCGTGTTTGACATTCTTTGTTCATCTTTCTAAGTAGCTAATGTATGTGGTTCTCTCGTTCTGCTGACAAGACACTTATTTTCAAGAAAACAACCAAAAGACAGAAGACAAGATGTGGTAGAAGTAAATTTATTCCCTTCATAAACTGTACAAACATTTCTCTGGTGTCTCTACAAATGCTTGCTGGCGCTAAAAACAAAGACATTGCGATTAAAGCAGGTTCCCATAGATATGGATTATATAAAAATAATGGATCTAGCTCCGCCCAGGAGCTTTCAACGTGTTAAAATACAAAGTCAAATTTCTTTTAAGTCATATTTGGTAAATATATATAGACTTCTAACACTGAAGATAACATAATTACTGTCCCACTTAAATCATGTCTGTCCAACAAGTTGTGTGTCGTCCTCCGATACAAACCATGTCACATATAGATGTTAATATAAAGGTAAAGTTTAATGTAAAAAGGTTTGCAGATTTCTTCTGTTTTTCTGGGGTCGGAGGGGTTTGTCCCACCTAAATATTTGAACACCGTTAAATAAATGTTAATATCAGACAAAGATGCCCTGAATTGGCAAAGAAATTTCAGTTTTTCACAGATGTTTTGAATTATTAAGAGAAAAAAACAACAACAAAATTCGAAGTTAATTTTGCTAAATCAAACATTTCAAAGAGAAATACTATATATTTAAATGTTTGACATGTACCACCTAAACCATGTGCCTCTGTCTGAAATCATCAGACCGAGGCTTTCACTGTGCATCGGACAAACGGATGAAATTCTGGTGGCTTCACTGCTAATATGGTGGGCAGCTGGATTTGTAGTCAGAATACCAAGAGTGGATATGAAACACCCAGAGAGATTAGTTGTCGAATATTATGTGGCGTACTCTCTCCACTGTGCTGCCTCACGCCCACACACTGCCACTTCTCACTCATCACACTCGAAACCTTGAAATGACTGAACACCATCAGCTTCCACACAGCAACTGCGCACAAAATGGACACACAGTTCAGACGTCGTCAAACGTTATCGTTAGGACTAAGATACAGGCGTTTGAGCGTTCAAAATGCACATGAGTCATAATTAGAGTTGCTAGAATCTATTTTAAACAAAACTATTCAATCAGCTGCAACCAGAGTTCACTTAACCCAGAAGTAAAGAGGTGAGCCCATTTTTTTTTCAATGAATAATGTTGCCCCCTGGTGGCCATTGGATAGAATGCAGCTTCCACATATTAGTGGACATGGTGCACCCATCTTGTGCCAACACTGTGTGGTTGGCACAAGATGGGTCAGCAATTGTCAGCAACTTCCCCTTGGGGATCAATAAAGTATATTCTATCCTACTCTACAAAAGTTGTTTGTTTTTAATATGTATCACACAATACAATACTACACCTGGCCCCTGTAAAGGTATATATTTAAAGACTTGGAGTGATGTTTATGGTCGGAAGAATGGACTATATCTGAGTGCAACGTTAGTCCTGGACCTTCTCAGGGTGCAGTTTTACATTCTGCGCTCTTAGCATCAAAATCACATGCATTTTTCTGAATTTTCAGCATGCTTAAACTTGCGGTCACAGCAGCGAGATCCCAAAAAAAACAAGAAGGGCATTTACACCACAGAGAGGAATATCCGCGATCTTCCCTGTGAGCCGCCCTCGAGAAATCACCATGGAAACAGTCTCTAATAAGGAGCTTAATCAATAGTAAATTAAATGTACAATTACAAGACTCTGGCAGATCTAAGTGAGTGTTTCCAATTACATGAGCAAATCTGACATTGAAAAAAAAAAAAACCAAACACTACTTGAGGCCCAACAGAACTGTATTTAGTACACGGTATAAGCACCTCGAAACAGCAGGAGACCAAACAGAGCAGAGGAGTTTGATGGAGCAACGTGGTCTGCTTCTCTTTCTTTTTCCTCCTTGGTGCATCACATCAGAGACGTCAATGAGTGTTGGACAGGAAGAAGATCCCTTATTTTCTGCTGTAAGTGGAGCAGGGCTGATGGTTGGAGGTAGGTCCACAAAAAGGATGTCATCTGGGAGGTATTTTTAGAGTGTGAGGCGCACTGATAATCGTCCGCCGGTGCAATCTGCCTGCAGGTTCCCAAAGATAATAACTGCTCTCATTCAGCACATTCACTCAGAGCAGGACGCACAGAAAAGAGCGCGTAGTTAGAGATAAGAGCATCTATATATGATGAGAACAATGTCTGCGTAACATGATGTTCAGGTTTTTGAGAGGCTTAAATGTCCTGTTAGTATTATCTCGTGGGCTGGCAAGATTGGATGAGATTTTAACAGGTGTCACTATTTGGCAAAAGTATCAACCAAAAATAACTTTTTCATACATTTACGGTGTAACAGAACAGAACTTACCTTTTTGCAGAGGAAGATGAAATTCAGAGAGGATAAAAAAACCAAATGTAATAATATGTAATGTCCTACTGTTCTGAGACGCTGAATTTGGGTTTTTATAAACCGAAATCATTTATATTACAAGAATTAGAGTTTTGAAATGTTTTTTTTCTCTATGTATGATGACTACAGTAATTTGTGTAGTCATAAAGTAACTATCGAGTTAGATTTTTATTATTGCTCCTTGATGTATTGGTATTTATTTGATTTAATTGGTTTTTTGTTGTATTTGGTCCACATTTTGAGTGATATTGGCAGGCGAAAGAAGATGTTTTTTTGAACATTTTAAGAACAAGGGAGTCACTCAAACAAATATCTTTAGCTTTAAAACATATGTTTTGTAGTTTTTGAATATCATATAAACATCACCTACACCTGATATTCATGTGTAGAAATAATTCAAAGTAGAATAACGAAGTAAAGAAATTAATACGATTAAGAATGATATGAAAACACTATCTATCTATCTATCTATCTATCTATCTATCTATCTATCTATCTATCTATCTATCTATCTATCTATCTATCTATCTATCTATCTATCTATCTATCTATCTATCTATCTATCTATCTATCTATCTATCTATCTATCTATCTATCTATCTATCAGCTGGCTCTGACGTCACTACCGCTATACCGCGAAGGCGCACACCGGAAGTGACTAGTGGAACGGACACGGTTCGTCGGCTAGCGAGCAGGATGAGTGGAATCACGTTGTTTTTATCGGGGGCAGCGGGTCTCCGCTCCTGGACACGTCCTCTTCTCCTTCTGCTGACGTTCTCATCGTGGCTGCCGGCCTCGGCGAAGCCCGGCAGCCTCAAGGAAGTGACGGACGGGGACTGGGAGAAGATCATGACCGGAGAGTGGATGATTGAGTTGTCAGTGTCCCGCTAACAGGCTAACCAGCTAGTTTTCCAGTTTCTGCTTTGCACTAAAACCCGAGTTCCCGCGTCAGCTAAAACCAGCTTAAAATAAGTTTAAGTCCGTCTTAATTTAGTCACATAACGCTACGAAAATTCGGATTTTTTTTTAAAGAAACATGCATTGCTAATCAGCTTTTGGGGGGTATGCTAACTTGAGGGCTAATGATGTCGAGCAACACGACGTGCAAGAGAAATTGAAAGCTTTCTAAAACCTTTTCTCCCGCAGCTACGCGCCCTGGTGTCCTGCATGCCAGCAGCTGCAGCCGGTGTGGAAAGAGTTCGCGGACTGGGGGGATGACATGGGCATCAACGTGGCCAAGGTGGATGTGACAGAGCAACCTGGTAAGCAACCCCAAGCTGGGCAACACCAATTAGTTCACACTGCAACTGTCTAAGTACTCAAAACAAATCTGTCTTAAAAAGCTTTATGTAAGGCTTATAATTAAGGAAAAACAGGCTTTAAGTGTTTATATTCGCTGTTTTAGTCTATTATCAAAATAACTAAGTATGTACCTAATTAGCATTCATAATTAAATGTTTATTTTCCCGCCTGTGCGTCCTGGAAGGAATGACTTACAACGTGACTCTGTTGTATGATGGTGCTTTAAGTTTACCTCCCATCACAATATGAATGTTTTCTGTTTTGTTGCATTGATAAAATGAAAGAAATGCAATAAAGCAGATTCTTGATGTCATTTTCATCATAAAGATGTGTCACAGGCAAATCTTTGACGACAGAAATGTTGAAATTTCATATTTATTCTACACAATTATATAGCATTGGAAAACGTTAAGAACGATTGTGTCGTGTTTGTCCTCATACAAAAACCATATTAAAACAAAAAATATATTTCCCACTCCCATCTTTTTCCATTTTTAAGGATTTTTGAAAAAGCCCCAGAGAACCACTAGGGCAGCACTAAGGAGCCATGGCTCACTGACCTCTGGTTTAAACCATAATCTGTAACTATAGTTTAAACAGTGGTGTTTTACTGGGACAGATCTAACTCAAGCTAACGCATTAATGTGAGGCTGAAAAAAAAAAAAGCCGTCCATGCTGACTGTCGTCTCTTTCCTCTGTAAGGTCTGAGTGGGCGATTCATCATAACTTCACTTCCTACAATATATCAGTACGTATTTGCATGGTTTGTGGTTTCCACTGCTTCCGCTTTTGTGTGCTTGTTTTTTTTTTCAACAGCACCTAAAGATAATTGCTGCAAACATAGTTGAATGCTGCATATACTCTTAGGTATATGTTAGAATCTCTCATTATTATAAAAAAAAACTAACTAACTAACTGTGGGTTAGTTATTTTTAACAGGTGATGCTTTTAGAAGTTAAATCAAGACAAATCTGTTGAACATTCTGCTGTTACAGAAACAGTTTTGAAGTGTTAAATGTATTTCCTGCTTGACTTTTGTGAAACAGGAAACCGCTGGCATAAACATTAGAAATAACATTAGTAAAATAAATGGAAATTATTTATATATGTATTTTATCAGGAGTTTGAGGAAAAGCCTGAGCTCCGTCTGAAAGCCCTGTTCATTTTGTCACTGATTAAGAGTTTTATTTTATTCCAGCTGCAAGGACGGCGTTTTCCGAAAGTACCACGGCGCTCGTACCAAAGAAGATTTCCTCAGCTTCGTCCACGAACAGAAATGGAAAAACACGGAGCCCGTTTCTTCGTGGTTCGGGCCGTCCTCGTTTTTGTAAGTGGCTAAAAAAGATCTCCCGTGCAAAACACGTTTGCGTCCTTTTGTTTTTGAAATCTCAGAACACGCCGGTGGATGCGAACTCTATTCACGGCGTCTTCTGGTGGGCTTTAAGAAGCGACACACAAGCAGGCAGATGCTTTTGCGACTGAGATATGTGTCGAGTGACATGCTGCGTTCGCCTCTTTCCACAGGATGAACTCGATGTCGGCTTTGTTCAAGCTCTCCATGTTCATCCGAGTAAGTAAATGGCACACTCATTGATTCTCGCAGACCGTATTTTGAGAGTACTGATATGAAATCAAACTTTCTGTTCGCTGTTGATGAGTGACACCGTTTTGCTTTTCAGGCAATATTACGAATGAATGTGCTGCTCAAGCACTTTGTGTATCTTGAATATTCAGATTAATTTCAAGGCCAAAAATATGTGAGAACTCTTGTTTTGTTTCCCAGCGTTGCCATAACTACATGACGGAGCAGCTGGGGATTCCAGTTTGGGGCTCATATGTCATCTTTGGCCTGGTCACCTTGTTTGCGGGCCTGACGTTGGGTCTTGTGAGTACTTCTCCATGAGAAAGCTGTGAACCAAACGTACCATCAATAATTCACGTAATCATAACACTTTTCTCATTTTAGTTGCTGGTGTTCATCGCAGATTACGTCTTTCCTTCGCGACGGTTTTCGTCACACGATTACTACCAGAGTGAGTTTTTGCATCAATATTTATGTCATGCTGTGACTTGGAGACGCATAAATACTTTATGAACAGTTTCACACTTTGGTTTCAACCACAAACTTGAATGTATTTTTTTCTTTCAGGGTTTCGTGTGATAAATGATCAAATAATGCGTATTTGTGTACAGAGAACCTGCTAAGCTTGGTGGTGCAGTCCACCAGCAGCCAACTGTGTTTTTCAATCAATCAGGTTTATTTGTACAGAGCATTTTGGCAACAAGGCAGTTCAATGAGTTTTACATCATAAAAACACAAATGTGAAAACAACATACAATCAACAATTGAGAAATCCCAGACATTACAGTTTGTCCAGCACCATCATCAATACTCCTTTAATATATGATGTATGTTGGTCTACGTTCCACTTACTACGGTTCAAAAGCAACTCTAGACAGGTGGGGGTTTAGCCCTGATTTACAGGAACTTAATGTTTCAGTTATTTTGCAGTTTTCTGGAAGTTTGTTCCAGATTTGTGGCGGATAGAAGCTGAAGATTTTGTGTTAAAAATGTTCAAAGTTACAAAGATGCAAAGTTGCACAAACAGGCGTCACAACTTTGAAAGAATAGCGTTTGGTGCAAACGGGATTGGACAGCACAATATGTGCACACCCTGTTAATGCTTTGACTATAAACTCAGCTTAGTCTGACTTTACAGTAACTGTTACTGGTGTGTAAAAACCTTTGTGTAAAATAAACAAAACAACACTTAGCAGGTGGGCAAGTTAAGCCTGGTGGCCCGCCAGGCTTATAAAACACTGGGGGAAACCTGGAATCATTTTCAGATGCTCTCCACATTTTAAAATTGTATTTTTCTTTTGGGGGAGTTAAACATTGAAGTTTGTGATTGAAATTTGAAGAGGTTCAAGAGTTTTGGATACTTCTCAGTCTCGTGTAAGAAAAGGTTTTAGTGCAGCGTTTTAGTGTAGCTAGCTCAGAGCCTCCCTGATGTTGCTTATGCGTTTCCGCAGAGAAACAGTCAATGGAGCAGTCCCGACTGATCCAGAATCAAGACGAGGACCAGGAGGCTGACGGCGAGGAGGACGACGAGGAGGAGGAAGACGACCAGGACGGGGCCTGGAGAAGGCAAAGGGAGTCTCCCGAGGGCCAGGGCTACCCCGATGAAGCCCTGAGGAAGAGAGTGGTGGCAAGCCGCGAGGACGACGAGGAGGAGGACAGCTAGAGAGTCGGTGCCGGGATTCCTGTTCTTCGTTCGATAAGAGCACAATGGAGTCAGCCGCAGAAGGAGGAGCTGTGGTCCTGAACGGCAGTATTAAGAAGAAGGGGTCCAAAATCTTCCCACCCCCAACCCAAGACACGTCCCCTCTGAACTCCCCTGCCCACTCTGTTAAAAGCGGGAGACTTCTACCTCTCCACCTGAGCAGCAGGCTCCAACTGGAACAACGAAAACTTTCTTCACACGTGTTTTTACATGCGGCGTACGTATGAAGCGGAGTACAGACGAATTTTGATTCGCTGTTTATGCTATGCATTGTTTCTCAAAAATAGTTTTTTTCTTTGACTTCTAACAAGCTTTGGTCTGTAAATTTTACTTTACAAATGGGTCATTTTATTCTGTACACACAAGCATCATTCGGCATTCTGCTGGTAGACTAGTTTAATCTTTAATACATCAAATCTATTTAGCTTCATTATATTAACATGAAAATGCAGATGTTTAAAATGGGAACAATTGCCACCGGTTATGCTCAGTCCAAATTAAACCTCTGGACGATGAATGTGGATCTGGACTTTGGTGTGTGGCGAACTTCTTAAAGTGATTTAATATGAACGCAGCAACGACCAAAGACGTTCAAAATCACAGTTTGAAGTCTGAACAACTCTCCGAACACAGCGAGTGATCTGTGGCTGCAACTTCCTTCCCACTTTACGATGTAATGCTTTACTGATAAACGTTTCGCTTACCATGTTCCAGTAAGAAGAATTGAGTGAAATAAAAAAGATAAAAAACCATGAAAGCAGCAATTGTGCAACTTAAAATGAACCACGTGCAATAAAATGTATTAAGCATGGGGTTAAAAAAAACACACAGGAAGTAATGAGGCAGGAAATCCTTTAATGTACGATGCTCAGTCGTGACGCAAGTTTGCAGTGTATATATTTTACTGAAATCTTCACCCTAAGCACATTCAGACTTTTCTTTGGGGGGGAGGGTGAAAAAATATTTTTATTCACTCCAAACGTAGTACCTGGTGTGTTTGTACTGCTTGGACATGGATTATGTTGCTGTCATCTGGTTTAATGTTTTCATGTGTGTTTTTTTTTTGTTTGTTTTTAGCTGTTATTATGAATGTTTACTTTAGGATCCTCCTAAATGTGCTGCTGACCTGCAGCTGAGGCAGCAGCAGACTGTTTGCATGCTGAAAGGCAACTAAAGAGGACAAAGTGAGGGGGAGGGGTATCAGGAGGGTTAGACTGGTTGGTTTGCAGTGCTGTACACAGCTGAGAGACTTTGACTGTTTTAGTTTAGTTTTTTTAACCTTTTTCCAAAAAATTCAAGCGTCTGATTCAAAGCTACAAAAATCACTTGTTGCTAGAAGAATGAGAGTATCGTTTCACCTGCATTTTCACACACTTCTCATTGTTTTTCTAGGGCTTGTGATGAACTTCACAGACTATTGACCCTTAAATATTGTTTAGAATCTCCTTAAAAATGGATGTGTTCATTTGGAAATCCCTCAATTGGTCAGTTTTGTTTTTTTTTCTGATTGCTATTTATGACTCGTAGCATTTTCACTCTACTCTGGGCAGCTTCTGCTCTTCATTTCTTTGAATAAAAGTTTAACAATAAAACCTTTTTTTTCTTCTCGTTTCTGTAAGAAGTTGACGTAGCTAAGCGTTTCTTTCAACTTGATTAATATAAAAACAGTTCATTGCATAAAGACGTCCTTAGCTCCAGTTTGAATTAACATGTTGAAAAATGACACGGTAACATAAGAAAAGTCAGGAGACGTGTTGAATTGCAAAGTTTGGAGACTTAACAAACTGGCACAATGTGGAAACATTAAAAATCTCCTTTATGGTGACTTCAGTCTGTCGTCATGTCTTGCAGTCTTGAATGACCGCTTGAGACCAAACTAAAACCTGAAATACAAAAATCCTGCCAACATTGAGGATTATGTCATTTCTGCTCCAGTTCTGACCTGCAATTTCTCACCTCTTGTTTCTTTCTACAGCTTCTGCTTTCCCACACAATCACATAGAAATGTGCTATTATTGCCCTAAACTTTTAATCATAATTTCAATTTTCCTCCATTGATACCATCATCAGTCCTCAGTTGAGAGAGCAAATGCTCATATTTCTGAAATTTAAACCACACACACAAAAAAATCCCACTTTTTATAATTTGAACTTGATTTTCTATTTCCTTCTCTTCAGAATGATATTTGGGTTTTAAGTCAGGCTGCACTAGATTGTAGTCATGCATTAAAAAAAACAATTTTTTAAATGATTAAAAATAAACTATATTTCATGTCGGCAAGCAAAACTGAAAAAAAAGACGTTTACAAAACACTGCAGGGTCAGTCGCCGCCAGCAGATGTCACTGTTGCATTGGTTTTGAGCAGCGCTGAAAGCCGCAGGTTTACCAGCAAAGGCAAATAAACGTCAGAAGTTTGCATCGGAATGTGCGGCGATTGTGAAACTGCGTTTTCATAAGTCCTCTGACTTGATCTCTCGGGGAGTTTTCCCGATTTCTCTGCAGAACCTCCTCTGCCCTCTTGTGCAAAGTTGTTCCCTATGAAATAAGGAGAAAAAAAAAAGCCTGACTGTGGAGCTGATCTGTAATCATTACTGTAATTGCGGCCTTCTGCACACGCTCCGTTTAGTGTAACAGCTCAACTTAAACTGTTACAGGAAGGGCAAGCGGGGGAAAGTGTTTGACGGGATTCCCCCGCTGCACTCCGCCAGCCTTTCTGCAGTGTCATACACAGCAGCTCAGTCTGGCCTGCAACAGCCATGCATTGGCACGTTCTGTTGTGCAATGGTAACTGAAGGCAGATGGTGTTGCTGGGTTGCTCTCTTTTTCTGTTCTTGTTCATTTAGCTCGCTCCACTCCATTTAGTTCTCTTTCATCCTTGCTGCTATTTCCTCCAGATCTTCGAGTAAAGCGCCAGCTTGGCAGTAGCGGGAGAGAAAGGCATGCTGGGTACAATGGCGCAACTAAGCTGTGAGGTGACATGCGAGGAGAGGAATGTCACAGAGTTTATTGCCTGTGGAGTCTTTTCGCTGCAGAGAGTGGTACTGCGTGAGTCTTTTAACCTCTAATTTAGTGCAAAGAGGAGAAAGACGAAAAGTGATGTGAATATTTTTTGTGGCTTCCATGTCATGACATCTGACAGATCCGTTGGAGACCCGATTCTTGATTTATTCTCGACATACCCAGAAGGAAAGGTTTTTTTGACCCTTTGTTTCGGTCATTTGTTCGAAGAGGTTTTGGGGTTGGTTTGAATCTTCTGAAAGAACTGACCTGGATTTAGATCCAGTGCTCATCTCCTCCAGTTGCCAGATTGTTAAATATGGTTGCATGAATCCTGGGAATCGTCTTCATCGACCTCCAGTTCAGTCTTTGCATTCAAAAATCACCAATGCAAGTACGCCAACCTAAGAGGAAATGCTGGACGTAGTAGGTTGGTTTACTAGCTTGTGTCAGTGGCCCTATTCCCCAATCTATCTGGAGAGGCTGTTAACCAACAAGTGAGAGATTACCTAGAGTACTTACCTGTCTGCCCATGACCTGTAAGCTACTTACCAAATGCTCTGTACCTCCACCCCTGATGCAACCCAAAAAGTCTTGACTCTAAAACAAACAGGATCTCTGTAGATGACTCCAAATAGGCATCGCTAATACCGATATTTCTTTTTCACATCGGAACTTGAGGCCTGTAAAAACGCGTTTGGTACTTTATCTTGATTTCCTCCGTTTTTCTTGCATTTGAGATACTGCCATCACAATTTCACTGGATGAGGCGGTTCAGGCCATCTTCAGGCAGCCAGAAGTTACACCATTTTTGATGCTGTGGTACGAACAAGACTCTGATGCTGAACCGTAAAGGTTTACTACACTCTTGGCATCTGGTTATACTTGCAGTGTCTGACAACGTGATAGAAAAACTATCTTTCTCTCCATTTGGAGAGGAACGTTCTTCTGTAGCAGCATTCACCAATTTAAAAAAAGAACCGCAGGGAATGCGGTGAGGCTTGAGCAAAGGCAGTGGGGGGGAGTTATTGACGTATAAATTATCTCAAAGACATCTGGTCCAGTAAGGTAAACCCTTTAGAGTGGAGTAACGACTCTCCTGGTGATCGGACAGACTGATGCTATTGCCGAACTCAACCATCGTAACTTTGAGGGGTAGTATAGCTGTAGTTCAGTGAGGTCAATGCAGCAGAATACCAGAGAGCAAGTCTTGTGTGAATGTGCGGCTGTGTAACATCCATTTATATGTCGCGCATAGAAACATTTTCAGGTTTTGACCCCCACCGGGTCAACTTGTCCAGCTGTTAGCATTCCACCAACCAGCTTTCCTTGACATCCGTCACATACAGGTACTGACGTTATTGATAACTCACTACATTATTTGGGTGAAGACACAACAACTGTTGTTCAGCTTGGACTGTTCTTTATCCATCGTCAGTGACGGCGACCTTGTTCGAACCCGAGTCTTTTTTTTCCCCCTCCCCACACATCTTTACCCGGTTTCCCAATTCAACTGATTCATCGTATGAATTGTGTTGGCAGATGCATTTTGTGTCCAATCTCTTATTGATAATAGGATCCCAATTATGCAAGTGACTTAAAGCTATAATCTCACCAGGCAAACGGTTGGCAGCCAACCGCTGGAGTTTTATGACAGGAGGGTGGAGCTTTTCTCCGTCAAGCAGCACAAGGAGGAAGCATTTGAGGATCCAGCTCTGTTTATGAATTGAAATACACGGGCCTGCTGCCAGAGGAGACTTTTTGCTTGACCACAAAAAGCCATGAGAAAAATTCAAGAGTTATATGATCCAGCTTCTCTCTGTCTCTCCTTCTGGAAGACCGGACGCCAGCGAGGTGGGAGTGCGAATGTTGAACAAGGCCTCGCTTGTTCTCAGAGCTGCCATGTCCCCTGCATGTCCTCTGTGTGGTTAGTACATTGAAACCCAGAAGGAAGGTGCAGAGACAGATTCCTCTGTTTGAGCGATGATTTAATGATCAGATTGAAATTTTGGTGTTTTGTGTTTTTTTTCTTTCTAAAAACAAAAACAAAATGGAATCTGGGCCAATAGAGCTAGTGGTGATTGTTTTCTCTCAGCTTTCCTATTGGCTATGACCCCGGCTGAGAAGGGAAACAAAAAGTCACATCCCATCAACTGCTGCTGAAATTGACTCTATTGTCATGAATCAGAAGACGTATAACAAGAGATGCATCAATCAGAATTTTGTGACGGATTCCTGGGCTGTGGTTTCTGTAAAGACTGGTTGCTCAATGAACCATTTACGAGAAAAGCATAAAAAACATTTCTGTCTTTCTGTTGTTGATTATTTATATGAGGAGCAGAGGTGATGTTACACCCCGACCCCCAAAACAGGTTTTTAATGTTTCAGTACAAGAAAAAATTGATCCGACAGTTGACATGAGGAACTAGCTTGGCGTTTCACTGGCGATTAGCACAATTAGCAAAGCTAGCATTACAGAGTCTGTCCGTAAAGTTAAACACTCAGGTTGCAGCGCAGTTCAGCATTTTGTCACCTATAATTATTGTGGCTCTGACAACACAGGCAGATCACACACTGCATTGATTACTGCTCACATTCTCCTGAGCATTAGCAATGCACGTACAACCAGCCATTTTGAACAGGCAATAAATCCTCACAAACAACCATCAGACGCGGCGGCGAGCGGCGTCTGATTCGCAGCCTCTGTGGCAGTCGGCAGTCCGATAACGGCCAGGAAAACTCAGAAAGACTCCATCCAGCTGCCTGTCGCTTTAAGGAAACCTGACGAAACGACAACCAAAACATTTTCTGGAAGGCAGTGAAATAATTAAAGCCACGTGTCACGTAAAAATAGGCGACGAGTTCCTTAAGTGGAGGATTCGCTATGTCTGTCCAAAGCGCAGATATAGTAAATGTTCTTAACATATACATTTTTGAAATATTTAAAAACATACATTTTTGTTTTTAGGACTGTAGAGTGTTTTTTTGTTGTTGTTGTTTTTTAGTGTAACATTTTTGAAAGCTACATTAGCACCACGCAGTTAAACCCTCACAAGTAAAACACTGAAGTGAATATATGGGCTAAAAAATGAGACGAACAATCACAGCTACGCTTGATCATTTAAGATTGGCTGCTTTGGCGACGTAGCTATTGGAAGGGACTTGCTAATGAGAACCAGAGTGACATCGCCGGTCAGAACCAGAACCAAAGTGGTATTTATCTGGCTATTGCGGCCATTGTTGTGTTTTGGCACAAGTGGTCATTTGCTGATGCTGCGTAGATAATTACAAACGTGGTGTGTTTAAATCCCTGGGTATGGTACCGGTTTATTAGGTATCCAGGTTAGGATTGTCAGACGTTTCTCCTGACTTCCTTCTCCTCCATGGATGAACAGAGACACAAATTATCTGTTTGTGAAGTAAAATACGACCCTGGAGGCCTTCCTGACATTATTTTAATCTTGAATGGATATTATGTGGCTTTGAGTTTGGTGTTTCAAATCTAACCACATCTATCCTTTTTTTGTTTGTTTAAACGAAACTTTTACAACTTTTTGTCTTGTATGCTTTTTTGTCTATATGTTCCTCTATATCCTACA